AGAGCTGAGACAAAGTTTTCTCCAGGTTCATGTTTTCCCATTGTTGGGTTTCTTGTGACTCCCGACAGTGATGGCCTGTTTTGGGGCCATCAAGTCTCTGAATCCGGTACTGCCTACAGTAGCACTGATGCTGCCATGGCTGTGCCAGTTCCTCTTGCTCTGAAAAGTGTTTGTAGTGGTTACACAAAATTCTACAGGTGTGCATTTGCTAGCAGAACAGGGCAAATAACCTTTCAAAAATGTATCAAATAACTGAATTTTTATCTTTTTGTGTGTCTGTTTGAAAGAACTATTTCCTAAATTAGTCTCCGAGTTCATAATGGCCAGTTAGCCTCCTGGGTTTCAAATCATCTCAGTATTAGATGGGAGCTGTGACACTGTAGGAGGTGTAAGTTGCTAACTACAGGATTATGAATTCCACAGTGCTCTGGAAGAGAAGCCCAGATCTGCTGACACAAACTCCAACTGTGGATATTAGAGGGATCTGGTTACAGCAAATGTTATGGAGCAGGAAGATCCTTTGTCCAGGGTAAATCTTCACGTGAAGTGAGCTGTCATTGATTTGTCTTTCTGATGCAAATCATAGGAGCGTGTTAGATCCACAGAGAAGCCAGCATCACAGTGAAGTAATTAGCTCCATAAACATATTATAGCCTTCAATGTAGACAGATGGCATTTGCAAGCAGCCTTCTCTATGTTACGGCAGTATCACCTCCCTTGCTTTCTTCTTCTTGTTTGGTTTGGTATTTCTTTAGGTTACCTTTATTTTTCTGTTTCCCTCCTCTCCCTGTGTGTTTTACACATACTCTCAGGGAGCTGTAGAAAAATATCTGTGTTGAAGGATGGCTCAGTCTCACAGAGCGTCAGATAAACTGCAATGTCTAATTTCAGATTAAATCACGTGTCCCTTTTTACCCAGGAAAAGCCAGCCCTGATAGCTTTAATGAGGCTGACGAAGGGACTGTTGGTCACAAAGAACTTGCTTAGAGATTTCCATGTGAGAGTGTAATTAAGGGTAGTGCGAGTACAAGGCTGACAAAGGAGCAATTTCCTTTTTTAAACGGCAAGGTGATTACCAGCATAATGACAGAAAAAAGGAGGGCGAGAAGGAAGCCTCAAATACAAATTTGAACAGAAGAGAAATCAGGATTCCTGGGTTCCTTTTGCTCCTTTTGCTGCTTTAGTGTTAAGTCACTGACTTATGTCCCATCTTCATGGGACATTGGCCATCGCTAACAATTAATTACGTGTACCCTGATACCTGTACGGTTAAACAGAGATAGCTGGACAGACTGGTGTGGAGGCTGGCAGTCAGTGTGTGCTCTTCAGACACCAGCTCAGTCCCCTCTGGCCAAATAATGAGACCCTTGTGATGAAGCGTTTTTGGTGTTGAGATTTTTGGGTAGGGGGAAAAGCACAGGGTAGATGGCATTGCTGTGGCTTCAGTTACAGGAGACAGAATAGAGTATGTGGGCTATCAGATGACCCTGGTTACGGTCTGGAGAACTTCTGCTGATGCTGAAGGAAAGAAATAAAAGCTGTCCCCCCACATGTAGCTGTTGGACACCAAGACCTGGTTATGCTGGTGCTGCTACTGGTATTTCAGGCTAGATTGGGGCTATCTAGACACCCATTTTTCCTCTCTCTTCTCTAGTCTGTGTCTGAACTGTATAGGAGATCTGTGACCTCATCACCTTAATGCATGAGCAGCTCATCGTCTTTTAAGCATCTGCTCACATCTCTCCTATGAAGCAAAGAAGTGGCTCAGCCTGCTTCTTACAGATAAGACCTTGAGGCAGAGAAACCAGGACTTGGCAGGAGAGGAAGGATTTAGTCCAGAACTCACATCTACCAGGTGGCACCCAGGAAGATTATTCTGAATTTCATGTGTAATAGGTCCCCTAAACACCCACATGGAACTGAAATTACCTGTACATTTCCTAAGTGAATGAAACAAAATGGAGCCAAGGCCACATGCGTTCTGCCTGGGAGGGAGATCAAGGGGTTCATGCAGTGTGACTTACCTGTGCTTTTAAATCCACACTTGTGGGTAACTGGGATGTGTTTTCTTGGATGCGTCCTGTGCAGACCATGCCATTATCATCCTGTCAGTTCAGGGCTGAATTCATGATCTTTGTGTATTTCTTATTCAGTTTTAAATGATCTTTTTTTTTTTTTTTGGCATTATAGCTACATAGTGTTTTTAGGATTTACTATACCTTCACTTATTTAAGTGCTCAAGCTGTTCCTAGTGCTGCTGTTTCTATTCCGTTTCTCTTCAGTCTGGCTGCTGTTTTGTCACCATTCTGGTTTGGAATAGGCTTTATTGGGAAGATACTAAAAGGTGACTGATGGTGTTGTGTGTCTTTGGATCCCCTGTCAAGATGCTTTAGAAGGCCCAGTTTCAAAGGTGGATGTTTGGAGGTTTCTGAAGACCAGACATAATTCATACTGGATAGAAAAATGAGTTGCAAGAAGTACCACGCTTCAAAAATTTGGCCTCTTAAAAATCTGAGGGGACCGATTTCGTATTACCTTATTCTTCTTGTGCTGCAAGTACAGGAAATTACAGACTCCATTTGCTAAACGGCAGGAGGCTAAATGATTTGTCTCAGTCTCACAAGTATTTTTTAAACCCACATCATGTAGCCTTCCCTATGCACTAATGCGTGGACAGAAAATAAATGAATATACAATGTGAAGGAAGGATGACCAATCTCGTTCTCTTGGGTAAACCTAAGTCATGGTATTGTGCCAAAGGTAAAAGAGCCTGGAGTCTGTGGTGTTTACATTTAGTGTTAGCACAATATATTTAAAAAATGGATGTTTTCTTCTCTTTGTGTCCATTCTGGGTGTCTCATTCTAGCAGGAGTCTGTGTAGGGACCACAACTTGCAGTGTGGCATCACAGTCTTCTCAGATGGCTTTTACTGTTGTCTCAATGGGTGGGAAAGGTTGCATCACAAGAGGTTTAGCTAGGATGTATTTTCTCAGTACTTTGCATAGTACAGCAACAGACCGTGCATATTTTAAAAGACAGCATAGGCTGAGAGAGAGATGATTCAGGCAGCCAGACTGGACTGTGACATGTCTTATTCAGACTATTATGAGTGCCTCAGTTCGTGTTTGAGGATGGGGAATATCAGGACATTTGGGTGACCCTGTGACTTATCTTGGACTTGGGGCTATTTGTCTGTACAGAGAAGCAGATGTAGGACATAAGAACATATTCCAGAAGAGGAAGTAGGCATCTGGGCAAAAGCTTTCGAAGATATTTTGAATTTAGCCTAATTACCCAGAACTAGCAAATGGTAAATGAGACCGGTGGTGTCAATAACATGCTGAATTAATCCAGGAAAGTTGTGACTACTTTTGAGGTGGGAATCTTCTTTTTTTTTTTTTTTTTATCATGACACCTGTTGCTCATAGGTACAAATCAAACGAAGAGTATGTGTATGTGCGAGGCCGTGGAAGAGGGAAGTATGTATGTGAGGAGTGTGGAATTCGCTGCAAGAAACCCAGCATGCTGAAGAAACACATTCGCACGCACACAGACGTCAGGCCATATGTCTGCAAGTACTGTAACTTTGCTTTTAAAACCAAAGGTAAGAGACAGTCAGCTCCTAGCTCCTCTGCTTAGTATATTGACTTACAAGCCTTCTTGGGGACGCTGGCGAAGGGGAAGGGAAAGCCTTCCCAGGGTCTGTAAAACCCCAGGAGTTGGAGGGAGGGGGATGAGGGACTCTCAAATTGGCTGAAATTTTCAGAAGAGGACCAGTCCTGCGTTAAGCTGATGCGTGTCGCGGTGGAGAGCACTGGCTGCACGTGCCAGCCTGCAGCAGAGCATCTGTGCCATCCTATTTGTGCTTCTTAAAGGGGATGATCCCAAAATACAGCTTCACTGGCAGGGATTTATAAACAAAAGCACCCCAGAGTAAGAGCAGGAGCTCCCGGGTACAGGCAAACATCCCTGACCGAGCACCTGGAGACAGTCTTTGGGTGGCTTTTTATGTTAGCGCTCTCAAGATCTGTTTGCTCTGCACATTTTCATCCTTTGCAGTTGCATGTAACTTTGACATTTTCTGTATCATATCAATAGACTTTTTCTCTAAAGACCTCCATTCTGGGACATCTAGTCATTAACGATCCACAACCTCACTACCACCAGATATTCTTTGCAAGCGACCTTCATCATTTCCTCAGTGAGTGTATGGGTGAACTCTATCAGGAACATGCAAAACCACATGCAAAAAAACCTCTCTTCCAAGAGACTGTGGGTAAAGTTTTCAAAAGTGCCAGAGGCGTCCAGGTCCCTTTAACTTGTCATAAGAGTCTGGCACTGTGGGTTTGACAAATCTCCCCTCCATCTTTGGTTGCAGCAAGACTTGCAATAAAGATGTTGAGTTCAGTTTCTTGACTATAGTTTGACATAAATATAAAATGTCCATTGACCGTAGCTCCATCAGTGCAAATATCAGAAGATGACACAGCTGGAAGAGTTAATTACTCAAGAAGAGCATCAACCCCAAAAAACCAGTGCTATCCAAGGAAGCGGCACAGCATGGGTGCGGGGAGAGGCACTGGGTGCTGCGTGGACTGCGGCGCATGTGCTTACCCAGAAGTACCGATGGAGGGCACGTCCATGCTAGACAAGTGACCCAGACACCGGGTGGTTCAGGGTGGGCAGTGTCTGGAGCTGATGGCTTTGTTAGTAAAGCCAGTGGGTGATTTCTGGGTAACAACGTGCTGGTAATCACTAGGCGTATGGGAGCATGGGGAAGTGATACCGAATTTGAGGCCAAATTCTCGTCAGACCCATGCAGCAGATCTGAGCGACGGTTCTTTCTCTCCCTCCCACCCCGGAGCTATTTCTGATTCATTTTCTTTCTCTTTTCCTCTTGTTTTTGTTACTTTGTTCTGAGGTTTTCCTTTGAGAGATGAATCCATTCAGCCTCTTCCGTCACTTCACCTTGCTTTCCACCACGCTTCTATTAGGCTTTTATTCAGGATGCTGCGATCAAACCATCCTTTTCACCATCTCTCTAGCTGCTTTGCTCTTCATCTCCGCTCCCTTGAAGCACACAAACTGTCAGCACTGACTGTGCCGATTGCACGTTGCAAACAGTCACTTGCCTCCAGGGGACTTCCCTTCTTTAGCTTTGCGGGAAACTTGCATGAGGAAGGTAGCATGGAAATGCTTCCTTCAAAAAAGCCCCCAGTGTTGGGATTTGAATGCAAAACTATCTGTTTGCCTATGGATGCATGAGGGGGCAGAACTTCCCCGGATCAGTGATTTCAGGACAAATAGTTGCATGATGGTAACTTGAAATTGCATGAAAATGGCTCTTTGCTGGAAGAGGGTGACAGTCAGAGCCCTGGCTGCGTCCTGTGGGCATGGTTATACTCCACATAACTTTGCAGCACTTGGGTAAAAGCTGTTTGCTTTGTTGACGGAGACACCAGGACCTTTGGAAGAGTTACTGGGGAGTGAGAAAAAGATCAGCCTTGTGTGCTGATAAAATCATCAGTTAAAGTCCAGTTACAGAATCATGGCTGTTGGTGATGGAGTGCAAACCAGAGGTCCAGGAGGTTTGCAGAACTGGGTGTTTCACAGCTTATTTTGCAGATGTCTAGAATAAGTTTGTTTGTGTCCTGATTCATTAGGATCCTCCTGCCTGGTGTGCAGTTTTGCAACCACAGTTAATTGCAGAATGGAGAAGCTGAAGCTCTTGCTACTGGACTGCACTTGCAAAAATATAAGCTGAGTTGAAGCTCTTTTAGAAATCAGCTTTCCAAAGTTAATTTTAGCCTTCAGTGTAAACTCAAGGGGGATATCTGTGGAGCTGTCTTCATTTTGGCTGTGGTAGATCTCTCCAGCATGATCTAATGCTCTAAACTCTCAAGTAGGCTGGAAGCAGTTAAATGTTTTTTTTTTATTATTATTTTTAATGAGGAACTTTATCTGGTTAAAATGTACCTCTCCCCACTCCCCCGCCCCAGAAAATCCATATCTGTGTTCCAAGAACTGGGAAAACTTTCACAGAAAGAAAGAGCTTTAAATATTTTTCCCTTTTCGCTAATTATGCTGCTTGTCTGCTTTTTGTGCATTTCTGTCACTGTAAGCGAAGCTGTTCCTTCGGGTTACAGAACTGCAGGGAATTTTTTTTTATTATTATATAGCAAATCCATGAGATTTTTTGTGTGCTCGCTTAGCTGATGGAAACAGCAGTCTTGGAAATTTGGTTTGTAAAGATTTATTTGATTTTACGTTTCTGGACCAGATATAAACCTGTCTCTTTAATGAGGTGTCTCTACCTCCACTGTCGTAGCGCTCTCCTAAGAGGTTTGTTACCGTGGCCTCCAAGAGGTTGCTTAAAAGAAGTTAAGCAGCTTCTTCATTGTTTTCTTACCAGGAAGGAGATGAAGAAAAAGTTGCAGTCTAACAATTTTCCCTTTCAGGAAGGTCAGGGAGAGCTTTTCCCTTGCCCACCTTCCCAGAGGAGACACAGGAACCACCAGCCCTCCCTTGTCCCTCGTCTCCAGACCCTTGCGGGAAGCACAGCCTCTTTCTTCACTCCTTCTCTTGGGTGACTTGGGGATGTGGGTCAGTGTTGGCACATTAATTCCCCTCCTGTGCAGACATTATCCTTTTCCACAGCTATTATCTGTTCTCGTTCAGACTCACATCAGACTCTCACGTCCTGATTACTTAAGATTTCTTAAAATTTCTAGACAAAGTGTATGGAGCAGCTTGCTGTGTCAATGCCACTGCCTTCGCTTGGAGGTCAGAAGGGACAAGGAGCTTCATATTAATTTAAAAGGTGCTTGTATAAAGGACATCAGTGCCTGTTGGCTGAAGATATCCATTTGATAGTCTAGTCCACTCACAGTTTCCAGACACCAGACTTCTTCATGTCCTCAGCCGTAGTCTTCCTTTAATAAATTAGTTTGCAGTTCCTTAAATCAGCACATGACAGGCACTGAGGTTATTGAACAGGTTAATATATTAAATGCATTACCCCCTCAGCCCTTAAAGGCAAGGTTATGGCTGCACAGTTTATTATTATTACTGCTCTAGCAGACTCAGCGCTCTGCTAAGCCTCCTCTGGAAACTACAGAGCAGGTCCAACTGGCGGAAGGCTCCAAAAGAATTAACTGCTGTTGTAGCAGGGGAGATTGATATATAGATTTGCAAAATGTCCCTGTACCCTGTGTGTGCTGAGGCCCTTTCTTAGCGGCTGGGAAGAGGGAAAGGGTCCAAGCATCCCTGTGGAGCCGCTGCTGGGAGGAGGCTGTGGTCCTCCAAATGTCACAAACCTCAGATGGGATGAGGACAGAGTTATCTTCAGGAATTTGCTGCCTGCGCCCTTATGCAATGTGGCGTGAGATGTGTCGCTGGGAACAGAAAATGACCCAGTGGTCCAGACAGGAGATGAAGCACTGTGAGCAAAAGGGCTCTTTAACTTACTAGGGAAAGGTAAAAAAAAGGAATGAGGGCTGAAAGTAAAAGACTGGCAAATTCAAGTGAAATATTAGCTGTTACTTTTTTAAACAGTGCAGCTATTAAGTCTCAGCACAAGCCTCAATGGGAAATATGCTAATTCTCTGTATTTTGAAATCTGCAAATCCAGCCTGGGTACCTTTCTGGAAGATTAGTTTTCGGCTAATGCAAGCTGATAGGCTTGATCCAGAAGATGGCTAATATTTTATAGCCTGTATCAATACCGGCAGGCAGGCTAGATGTTCAAATTCTCTCCTTTAATCTTTAAGTCAATAAGTATAACAGATAATAACAAAATTTTTAAAAATTGAAATCTTTTGCCCAATAAATTATATAAATTAAAGCTTTTCTTCTCATAGAGTCTCACTTGGGGACATTATCTCCATGCTGAGACCTAAATCAAGGCCTGTGCATTATTTAAGTCACACATAAAACCTATTTCAAGGGTTTATCTGGGATGAAGAGTATTGGCCTGTGGCTGGTTCTCTGTGTGTGAGTGCGTCTCACAGCAAATTGGTGTCTGCTAGTTATAGAGTAGCTGGTACTCTCCGTGCATATTATTTTAAAAGAGGATTATGAAAATACATAAGTCCTGGAAAGCTCTGGATGTTTGTATCACAATGTCGCCTTGGATGCTGAGATCATGCAGTTGGTCATTTGTTGGGTTTTTGTTGTTGTTGTTAAATTGTTCACATTTAATAGGAGAAATAGAAAGCATGGTGTATGCCCGATACAGACAGGATAATTTTTCCAGGAATCTTAATGTTTCTGTTCCCTACATTTTGCTTTAATTCCACCACCTTTAAAATATGATAATGGTTATTCTGACAAAATTAATTTCCCTCTTCAAATTTAACTGGGAAATCACTTCTACTCCCTATTAAGCTGCTTTAAATGCTTTTGGAACATGAGAGTTTTAGCTTTCTCAAAACAACACAAGTATTTAAGCTGCTTTAAGTCCAGACTAAGACCTCACAACATCAGAAGAACTTAAGCAGCCTGTAATACATCGTTATAACCAGGCGTAATGAGAGAGCTGTGCTGATAACTCTGTGTACTCCTCCAGTGCCGCAATAGTTGGGGTGGGGTCGCTATTTCCACTGATTCCTGAATGTATTTAAGTATAGCCAGTTTATTTCAAATCTGGGAACTTTTTGGTAAACAATCCTTAGTGAGGACCACTTACCTGCTTAGGATTCAATATAAGTGTTCTGCTGTTTAAATCCAGCTTCCCTGCCTGCTAGTTTCTCTCTTGCTCCTTCAAATATGTTTTTTCCACTGTTTCCAAGGAAGCAATGTTATGTGGGTTGTTTTTTGTTGGTTTTTTTTTTTTTTTTTTTTTTTAAATTGGGAGCCAGAACTCTGTAAGGCAACAAGTAGCTGTGAGTCCTTCCTTGTAGGATTCATATCCAGCTTTTACTTAGGCAAAGTGGTGTTGATTTTACTGGAAATTTGCCAAAGGACTTTAGCATTTAATCCTGCCAGCATTAATTAAGGGGTCTAAAAACAAACTGTAAGAAGAACCCTGATAAGATAAATATCATTGTCCTCCAAATTGCTCCTAAGATGATAACTCAGCTTCTCAGCTGGTGTAAATAAGCCTTAAGCTTTTAACTTCTGTAAAATGATGCAAACTTAGGTCACATGAGAATCCGGCCTGCTGAGTATCCCTTCCCTAAACGGACAGCAGCGTCACTATTTTGTTGGAATTTCTTCTTGGTGTGCATGCAGGGTGTTGTGCATGGATAGACCATGCACCAGGGGGATTTGCACCGAGAGCTTTTCAGGCTTATCTTGTTCATCAGCACGTGTGGGTATTACCTAATCTAACCAAATGAGAATGAAGATGGAAAGCAGAGTAGAAAGAAGTAGAAGGTTAAAGAAAGCAACACGTGCTATGAATTGGTCCTTTGGTATTTTGCATAAACTCATTTGCACAGGGGTTTTGGCATTGCCTGTGCAGTGCCTTCCAGCTCACACCCATGCAGGCAGCGTGGGTGGGGAAGGAAGAGAAGCCATGGCGTTGCCTTGCACAAGGACAGTTGCCTTGCACAAGGACAGTTGCCTCCAGTGAAAGAAAATAAAAAAGGAAATGACACTGATGGCTTCTGGCAGAGCTTGTCAACCCGAACCATTGCTCAGGGTGGAGCTGAGTCAAAGCAGAGGTGCAATGAAGTGATGGGTGGAGAGCTGCCGACTGCAGAAGCAGCCAGCTGGGTTCCCTGTGTCTGTCCAGATCCTGCAGCAGCAAAAGGGAGAGTGTGTGCAATGGGGAGGACTTGTGTGTATAACCAGCCTTCGGACATCTGAAGTGGCCAAGGTGGCCGCTGTATGCCTCTGAGGACCAGAATCCTGCCCTCGAGTATGGGGTGGCTGCAGTCTTGCCTAAAACATTGCATTCAGCCACACCACCC